GTGTGCCTGGTTACCTTCTGCAGCACACAGTGGTTGTGTTGAAAAACCATTTATAGGTCATTTGAGGCCCGAGGTCTCAGGAAATGTCCATTTCTTACTGGGTGCTGTGGACACTGTTAACCCGGGCCCACTTTCCACATTTCCTTCAGCCTTTTCTTTAGCTCTGGCGGGGAGCGGACCTCCACCTGCTGGGGCCTGGTTCCCCACTGCAGGATGCCCTCTGGGCCAGGACAGCTGAGTCACCCAGCATGGCCTCGTAGTCCTCATCATCGCTCCTCTGCAGTATCGGCATGGGTAATTGCTCTGTCCTTTTCTGAAACTTCCCTCAACTTCTGTCCTGGGTATGTTTCCCACTTTCCTGGCTCTCCTTCCTCTGCCTGCTCTTGAAATAGCAGTGTCCCGGGCCTGACTGCGCCCCACTGCCCACGCCTTCATCTCCAATGCGGTCTTCCCTTCTGAGCTGCAGGGTGTGGCCCAGCTGCCCGCCTCTCAGCCATTGCAGGAGCCAAGCCCCCTTCCCTCATCCTTGGGCAGGGCTGTGTGAGAGGATAGCGTGACCCTGCACTCAGAACACCTGCAGGAGCCACAGAGTGCTCTGGGCCCATTTGAACACCCGCCAGTCTAATTCAGGGTTACTGGCTGTCTGCTCCGGAGGGCCTTGGTGATGAGGGTCCTTGGAACCACCTTCCGGCCAGCTGACCAGCGTGAGGCTCACGAGGGCCCAGGTGGGTCCGAGCACGTGCCAGCTTCAGTGGAGAAGGAAGGGGACGAATCGGGAAAGCTCCCCGGTTGTTCAGCGTCATCACCACACAGGTCTTGTCCTCCCTGGTCTCTTCCCTAGTCTCCATCCTGATGGTCCCTTTGTTCCTTCTTACTGAGGTCATGGGCAAGGAGGGAGGGGTGTGGACATGCCTGTCAGGAACGTGTGAGCAGTGAGTGAATTTAGGTTCTCATGCCGAAAGACTGGCTGGCGTCCTACCATCCCCAGACGGTCGAGCGCTGGGTTTAGAGCACACAGTGTAGACTGCGAGAGGCCAGGGCCCGACGTGGACTGTCCATTCCCTAAGACGCGCAGGAATAAGTCAAGGGGTTTAGTAGGCCTGGGTCATCGCTGAAGGCAGACCCGACAGACGACCTATGGAAGTCTCCTACCCACCTGTGCCACCCTGCCCGGGCTGCCCCACGCGCCTCACCACACGTCATGGGAGTGTGCAGTAGGCAAGAGGAGTCTCAGCAGTAGGGAGGGGACAGCGGTCCTCCTACAGTGGTGATGGCTCTGTGGCAGTGAGCTCTAAGTCGTCATGGAGACCCAAGCTCCACAGCATCTGAAGCAAGGGGTACCCCCACAGCCTCAGCAACTGGGGTGACTGACAATGTGCTTCAAATGTGCGTTTCAGTTAAAGGAAACTCAGGTTCAGAGTGTTTGTGCAAAATATTATGATTTTTCTTTTTTTCCCAGGTTTTTCCCATAAGGCATATGCACTCACCGGAGAGAGACGAAGAGAGGGAAAGTGAGAACCACCCTCTTGCCCCACAGGAGACAGCCTTGCTGTAATCCCTCTTCTTCCATACTCCTCTCAGGATTATTGGGCACACACACACCCAATGTGATTTTCAAGCCACCGGGTCCAGGACTCAAACTGCAGTTGGCCATGTGGGAGTCCAGTGCCTTAACCACCACGCCACCTGTTGGTCTCATTTATTAAAAAATGAAAGGATTATAAAAACACTGAATGGCAAACACATTCACTAGCAGATTTTTCACTGTCACATTTACTCTTCATTGTGTTGTAAAGTGCTTGTGTAACACGAGTGTACTGACACACCCATGTTTCCAAACAAGTGTGTGCATCCTGCAGTCTGCAGAAACTTCGTGGGTCACCTGTGCTTTTACATGTCACAGTCTGCAGTCAGCTGCTGGTAAAAGTGTGATAACGGATGAAGGAAAAAATGATCAAGCTGAGTGTGAACACTTCTGCACACACACGCACGCACACACACACACAGCTTACATGGAAACAGATCTTGCTGGGAGTGTATCCTTAGTATCTGATGTTCACCCAGGCTGGTGGCTGTTTTCTCCAGCTCTGGCTGGCAAGGTGAGGGCTGTGTAGACGGGCCGGCCTCCCGGGGTCACCTCTGTGCTCCAGCTCTTTGTACAGAGCCACCCAGGTGGGTAGCTATGGAAACCACTCCCATTGTGACCAGGGCCATCCACATCCAGGTCGCAGCCCACCCTGGTAGAGGCAGCAAGGGCCTCAAAGCCTGTCTGTAATCATGGAACATCGGACAGGCACAGAACGGAGTTGAGTAATGGCAAAACAAGCCGGGGCAGCCATGGGTCGATGACACCAATCCAGATCTCTCCCTGAAGCAAAATATTCAGATGATTGGATTTATCTTGGTGGTGGTTAGGCTGTGATGCTTTGTAGCTTGTAGCATTTAATTGAGATGCTACATCTCGTAATACGAGTGGGAGTATCATGCTTTTGAATAGGCTCAGTTGAATCTCAGTATATTTGTTGATTTTAAAATGGGATCGTGGTTTGAAAGCTGTTACACTAACTTGTTTCTATATTGCTGCTTTAAATGAAACTCGCGAGTTGAGCCATAAGTAAAAACGTTACTGACTTGATTAAATGCTATGATTTTTCAGCCAAAACATTTAAAGGAATTAAATGTAACCCTGATTTTAAAGTATCTTCATCTCATTTTATCTGTGTTTTCGAAAGCACTGCCAGTGAAAGATGTGGAAGAAAAGCCTGAACACATCGGAACAAAAGAGACTGAGAAATTGCCCCCCAGCATCGAACCTCGACAACAACGAAGTGCCTTATTCGCTAGAGGAACCAGAAGAGCAGCCAAAAGTCCCCAAAGGTCGTCAAGTAAAATAAAAGAGAACAAGCACCCATTTGCTCTTTACGGCTGGGGGGAGAAGCAGACCGATACAGGAAGCCAAAAAACTCACAATGTCCGTGCGTCTGCCCCTGTGCACGAGGTGCGAGTCGGCACGTGCCGCCACCGGGAGGCTGTGGGGCCGCGGAGATCTCAGGGCATGGGGTGTCGGGCCAGGGAAGCCCAGCAAGAGGGTCTGGGTGTCCGTGGTCTGGAGAGCAAGGGGTTTAGGCTGGTGGTTAGCCGGTCCCCAAAGGGTGTACCGACAGCTAGACAAAGGACCGAGTCCCCGAAGGGGTGGCAGGAGGTTGCGGGGGCACACCAGGGCTGGCCACTGCCTACCACCATTTCCCACTGGCTTCTCCAAAGGTCTCAGGTTCTTTCCCCTTTAATAACCTGGTATTTTCTCAAGTCCTTTGCTATTGGTCAGTCTGTCTGCTCGACATCTCCTGGGGACTCTCCTTTTTATCTCAGATTAAATTCAAGTTACTGTTTTCCGTTTGCCCGTAATGGATGCATTTTCCTCCCACAAGCTCTAGTTCTCGTCTCACCTAGCCAGGGGTGGTCACCCTGTGTCAAGTCCTGAAAACATTTCAAGGGAAGATCCACTATGGAGCCCCCGAACAATGGTATAGTTAGCACTCACACGGTTACTGCAGCCTAGACCAAAAGACACCTCTAAAGAAGCAGAAAGAAAAACTGGATTCTGCTCAACTCCCTCAGTCAGGGTCTTCCTGAGCAGCCGTCGAGCCCAGTGGTGGGATGATTTAGAGTGGTATTTGAGACAGCAAAGCTGTCGTTTAGCAAAAGACCTCTGACAGATTCTTGGGATTAATTTTAACAGGATTTATGCCGTTGAAGGACAACGGGTGATAAAATCCCTTGATTTAAAAAAAAAACCTGTTTATTTAGTATGCTGCTGTGAAACATTTGAAGTTCTTTAATGGGGTATTACCCAGGCTTAATGCCAGCGGTTCCCACGGTTTTCCCGAGCCAATTCTAGAGGCACATACGAATTAGTTTGCCATTTCTACCTAAAGCTTAATTTTCTGTCACTTTGTTCGAATATCACTGATAACGGGTAAGCCCTCGCATCAAAGGCCAGGCCTTCCTGAGGAAGCGTTTATGTCGGGAAGAACTGTATCTACACAGCCGGACCTGGGCTCTGGCCTGCAGCAGGGACCCTGGCTAGCTTCATCGTGGACGTTCTTAGAAATCGGTACAAAACCCAGTGTCATTACGCTTGTCTTTCTGAACTCCCCGTAGATTCATGAATCTGCGTTGCGGGCCAAGAACAGGAGACAGGTGGAGAAAAGGAGGCTGGCTGGCCAGCGGCAGCGCGCCCACTCGGTGGAAGCGGAAAAGAACAGGAAGATGAAGTCGCTGTCCTCCGAGAACCCCTGGATGACAGAGTACATGAGATGCTATTCAGCAAGAGCCTGAGGAGAGGAACAGTTGATTAAACAGCCTCTTTTTAAAAAGAGTAGATGAAAAAAAGGAAAAACAAAACAAGAACCATCAAAAGAAACCGGACACAGGTTTAAGAAACCGAGTGATCATGCGAGGCTTTCTTTGGGGACTCTGAGAGCTTGTTTTATCCTGATGAACCTCGGTCACCTACCTCAGCAGTAGGGCAGACAGCTGAAGCCATAGACTTTTGGTTATTTATGAAGATAATTCCCTAAATATTTGATATTCTTCTAAGAGTTTTGTTTTAAGGCATCTTAGTCTTTTAAGATACTGACACCAAATGCCTTTAAACGGCTGTAGACGCTTCCCACTCAGTATTCTTTCACTAAGCCGAGATGGGCCCTGTCTTTCCCTGTTCGAACACCTTTCCAGTTCCACAGCAAGTAAGGCCATTCCACCCTACAGCACGAGACTCGTTTTTCCCTCTGCGTGTTTTTTTATGAAAACATATGGAGTCAAAAATGAGTTTGACCACTATGGATTCCATGCGTAATGAAACTAGAACTTTGGCAGATCCTGAACCAGTAAACTTATTTGTATTTCAGCTGCTCAGTATTGCCTTCGCATAGGTTGTGATGTTTAAGAATTATCTGGTTTGGGGAAGGGCCACCTTTTCTCTTTAAATGGCCATCTAGGTATTTATTATTTAATAGTTGAGTAGTTCAGATACATTCCAATAAACAAACTGCTGGTGTAGGGTGTTTAGTGTAGTTATAAAGTCTCCTCTGAGTCAAAGACGGTCACGTTTCTTAATTGCGAGATTACTCTTTTTTTTAAGAACAGGTCATATGAGCTCGGTCGCTTGTTAGAGCCACAGCACTCGTATTTACAGGGCATAAACTGAGCTTCACCTAGTAAGTTGAGATGGTTCCTCCCACTGGGGACGGGGGGCCAAAGTGAAGGTGGCCACTAGGGATGTCGTCCACTCCTCTCTCCGCTCTCCCACAGAGCGATAACGAAGTTGTGAAGACAGGATATTCAGACTTAGGTCGAAGCGCACTCCTCGGTTCCTAGCCAGCAGGGCGTAGGTGCGCCTGAATGTGGAAGAACGGAGGTGTGTGCTCAGGCATAAATGCATGTCACCAGTGCTCCTCCTTTTTAGGGCTTAACACCTCTGCGGTTAAAAACAAGAGTTTTAAAAACCACTGATCCACCTGATGAGTAAAGTCTTCTCCATCCTGCAGAAACAAGAGTCCCCTAGAAGGATGAATACTCAGTTCTCTGCAAGAGATAAGCAAGTCCTTGGCCTGGCCAACTTAGCACAGAAGACCTGCGGGTGGAGGCGTGAGACCAAGCGTTTCCAGGATGGTTCCCCTCTGGCTCTCTGAAGTATGATAGCCACTTTTTAGACCACGGTTTGTTTCCATTCCACAATGAGATCATTGCACAGTATCATCTTGTAACTACAGTAAGCTTTCAGAACTCATACTGAAGAATCCTGAGTTTCTAACAAACATTTTAAATATTTGCATTGTTTCGAGGTGATTTTTGTTTGTTTGTTTACACATAGAGAGCTGTCCTAATCACTGACGTGTGTTTAATCAGAGGAAATTCTACTTGTTGTCCAGACAACCTTCCTAGTGACTCTGGTGGATTCTGGTGTTGACTGCTATTAAAGTCTCTAGCCATTGTGGGTACCCGCAGATCACGATGTGGCAATTGTGACGGGGTAGCTGCGTTTTTAAACACTTCTTGCATGTTCATTTTAGCCATTTCAGCTCAGGCGTTGTCTTGCACCTGACAATCCTAGGGCAGTCATGAGCCCCACACTGACAGCTGCCTTAGAAACAGCTTCCTCCAGACTTCGGCCCAGTCAGGCTTTCGCTGGGAAGACAGACTTGCATTGAATGTGCTTATTGCTGAAAACTCCAGATGGAGGTAAAACTGAGAGGGTGATCTTGGCCAAATTCTCCCCTTCTTTTTACAGAGAGGACAAATGGATACGATTTTAAAAATTATTTTTAATGTGCACAAACAATGGATAAACCGATATGGATGACTATAGTTGTGAGTCCCCTCCTACATCTCTGTCCTTAGTTGGTTGTGGTTTCTTTTCTTTGTGTTTAAAGAATTGACAGTTACCTTTTGAACCCATGAAACTTAAGTGATCACCTCGGATGGTCTGCTCTTTCCTTCTTACTCTACGAATGAATATGATCATGTCCTACTTCTCTCTGCAAGACGGAGAGAGAGGTTAGAATGACCTTTCATGCTGAAAAGTCTGAAACTGAGAATCCAGTGGCATTTAAAATAAATGCTACATAAAAGTCTTTAAAAATGATCTGGGTTTGAATTCTTACAGCAGTTTGCTCCCAGTGTGTGTTTGTTTCTGTTTTGAATGTAAAACAAAGGTAAGAGTGAAGTGCTAATGTCAGCAGCTGCTGGATGGAAGCGAATGAGAGACTGGAAGCTAGGTCTTTTTCTTCAACGCCACTGCTTTAGGACGGGTCAGAGCATTTGGTACGTCTGATTATATGTATATTCCTTTCCTGACAGTCTACCTAGGCCCACTGACGTGTTTAAAGTCCTAGTGGTTCAGGAGGCTAGTCGGCAGTCGTGCAGTTCCTACTTGTGTCTTTGTCACTGTGTTTATCGAAGATCAATTGCAGGCCGTGAGGAAGGAAGGCGCATGTGCAGAGATCACCTGAGGCAGCAGAGGAAGCTGCCAGAAAGAGCAAGACGTCGCTGTCGTGACCGAAAGGCCTCGACAAAGAATTCTGCACTATCTGCAAAATCAAAACGTCATCGGGGCTCTCCCTGCCCCTTCTATGACAGTACTGGGCATAGACCTTCTGAATGGAGTGGTATGTGCTTGGTGCTTAAAATGCTGACGTGTTACCGGCCGAGAAGAAAAGAAGCAACAGAGAGAGACAAGGGGATTTTGCTGTTAAGCTGATTGCTGCCATGAAAAATAGTTTTAAAAAACCTAGCTGAATGGACAGTTTTGCATTTCACGGGACTAGATAAAAAATGGTGCTAATGTTTATATAGCTTAATTCTGTAGTCGGTTTGGTATCGAGCTGTGAGTGCCCGACCCATATGAGACCCTTACTATATAGTCTATATAATATCAGTTAAAAGTTATTTTTAAAAAGTGATCCTAAAAATAGGAGCTAGTCATTTCAAAATGTTTGCATTTGAAATGCTTTTTTTTGTACGAGGGGTCATCAAAAAGCTCATGGAAAATGCGTATTATGAAAAAACTATGCATGGATTTTGATTTTTGCACCAAAAGAAACTTGTACTTTAATTCCATTTTCCCACAAACTTTTTAAAGTCCCTTCGTGCAATAGGATGAATACAGAATTATTCAGTACAAGTGTGTGCATATCAAACTCTGTGTAAGGAGAATCAAGGTTTTTAGCCAAAATTTACCCCTTTTAAGCTGTTGGTGTACGATGGAAAGAAATTCCTTGCTCTTCTAATGTTTATTTCCACTTTGAAATTCCAGACATGGATGAACGTTAGAGGCCTCTTTTCGGATTTCTTTTATAACAAAACTATACGTAGGGAAGATTTTCCTGTGCAATAAATCAGATAGGTTTTTGAGCACTGCATTCCCTTTAAAAATCTGAAAGAAAAACGGCTGGGGGACATACTCTGAAAGCTCAGGCAATGGGAGTTTGGGGTTGTATTTTTAAGAACTATGTATTTTTAAGAACTATGTATAATTTAGTTAATATTGCATTTACTTGGAAAAATGTGAATAAAGTTAATTAACATTACTGGCTGAACTTTTTTTCTTTTTTTTTTTTTGAGAGGTTTTTGCCATAGGGCGCGTGCGCTCGCCAGACAGACAGAGACAGAGAGACAGAAAGCGAGAAATCACCCCCCCCAGGGGGGACGGCCACACCGCAATCCCTTCTCCTCCATTCTCCTCTCAGGATCTTGGGCATACACGCACATGTGCCCGGCATGAGTTTTAAGCCACCGGGTCCGGGACGCGAACCGTGGTCGACTATGTGGGAGTCCAGCGACATAGCCATTACGCTAACTGCTGGTCCCACTGGCTGAACTTTTGTGAGCAATAATTCTTAGTATATAAATGACTTGAAGAAAATGTGTGACCGTATCGACTCCTAATGGGTTTTTTACTCTAGAGCAGTGTAACAAGATACACTAGTACGCCTAGGAGGAGGTAAGTCGTACATGTACAGTTTGAGTTGCACTGTAATTTTTCCCAGTATTTTCTATCACCTCTTACTGTTTTGAAAGTTACAAAAGGAATAGTGCATGGTTACAGTCATCCAAAAAGAAGTTTACACTACATGAAAAATCCCTTCACTCCCACTCCCTTATCAAAATCCTACTCACGTTCCTGCAGGAAAATCACGCTGGGAGGGACCAACGGTTGGCATAATGGTTACGTCGCTGGATTCTCATGTAGTCAATTGTGGTTCAAGTCCTGGACCTGATGGCTTAAAACTTGTGCTGGGCCCGTGTGTGTGTGTGCGTGCGTGTGCTCAAGATGCTGAAAGGAGAGTGGAGGAGAAGGGGTTGCGGCGTGGCCGTCCCCCCGGAGGGTGATTTCTCGCTTTCTGTCTCTCTGTCTCTGTCTCTGGTGAGCGCACGTGCCCTATAGCAAAAACCTCTCCAAAAAAAAAAAATCCTAGAGCTGACACTGAGTACCCGCTCTTCAAAGATACCCGTCTCACCAGACTCTAAGTGTGTGTCTTCAGCCAGACACTGACGAGCCATGCGTCGAGGCGAGCCTCGCTCGAGGCCCCAGCTGGGAGGGGAGAGCACAGACTGGGCCACTCCATGGAGGACATTGTAATTCGGGGGTTTGGGATGGTATCTTAGGCCGTTCTGTGTGCTGTAACTGGGCAATTTAGGGAAAATAGACGTTTATTTGGTCACGATTGTGAAGTCTGAGAAGTCCATGAGGCCCGGGGCCCAGCATCCACTTGCTTTTGGGGTGGCCCCTGCTCTGCATCGCGGCAGGCAGAGCAGCTGAGGGGCCTGCAGGCGGTGCGAGACCTAACACGAGGACACTGCACCAGCCTGCTCTGGGTTAGGCCTGCACTCCCGGAACGGCGCCTCAGCTTGAGGGTCCCATCTCGGCATGCCACACAGGGACCCAGTCTCACCATGAGTTCTGGTGGGGTGAAGCCACATCCAAACATAGCAGATGGCAAGGTGTAACCCTGGGTTTCCCTAACTAACTCATCTAAGAACATTTTAACACAAATCTCCACCAACGATAAAATCTGCAACACGATGTTGTCAGAGGGCAGGAAGGGCTGGCAGGTGGCGTGGTGGTTAAGACACTGGACTCCCACATGGCCGACCACGATTTGAGACCTGGAGGCTTGCTTTCTCACTTTCACTCTCTCTATGCCTTTCTTTGGTCAAATTAAAATAATAAAATAAATTAATCTTAAAAAAAAAAGAAAGAAAACAGTGGGAGGTCACTGAGTGTTCCCAAAGGCCTGGGTGTCCCTGCAGGTCCACCTGGTTCCACCCGGAGACCAGGCTCTGCCCACTCTCCTCCTTTAGAGGCTGATGCCCCAGGGCCTCTGGGGTGCTGTCAGCAGAGAAAGGAAACCTTTTTCCTGGCTACTGTAAAATGGATGACAAATGTTAAGATCGAATAGAAACAGAAAATAAACTTTAGTGACATCTTTTTAAGGATGTGGGGGCCAGCAGGTGGCGTGGTGGTTAGGGCACTGGACTCTCACACGGCTGACTGCGGTTGCTTCCTCACTTCCTCTCGCTCTCTGGTGAGCACACATGCCCTGTAGCAAATATTGAGATAACGATAATAAAAAAATAAATAATTATTTTTAAAAGTATTATATATGTATTTATTTTTAAAGAATTATTTTATTTTATTCACTATTATTATCTTAAATTTGACCAGTGAGAGAAGAGAGAGGAAAAGTGAGAAAGCAAGTTACCAAGTCTGGGACTCAAACCACAGTCTGCCGTGTGGGAGTCCGGCGTTCTAACTCCCATGCCACCTGTCGGCCCCAGCGTTGTGGACTTCAACCGTTAGACGTCCTGCTTTACAGGTCAGCTCTTCTGCGGGCAGTCAGCTGGCTCAGTATTTAAAAGGAGCCCGTGCTGGACTTAGCAGAAGTCTTCCGATGAGTTGGCGTGTGGGGACGTGCTGAGTACAGGCCCGGGCCGCAGCACGTCCACACCATCTGCCTCCAGCGAGCAGGACTTCCAGGGCAGATGTGCCAAGAGCAAAGTGCGGGGCAGCCTGGGACCTGGTCCAGTGCTCAGGTAGATGCCCTGTCCCGGCTGCTGCCACCCGTGCTGTGACGAGGCCCACGTGGCGCAGTGTCTGCTTGAGGCCCGGCTGCGTGCTTCTCGGCTGTGCAGTCACACAGCTGACACCTGGCACTGGGAGGAAGGTCCTCCCCACAGAGGATCCCCACGAACACACAGCAGGCTCACCTAAATTTCAGACACTGGGTGTCCCTAAACGTAAGCACACGTGGCGAAAGCCCGCGTTTCAAGCTGACGCTGTTCCTGGAAATGAAAGGGACGAAGAGGATGGCTGGTAGACTACCCAGATAGTTACAGATGAAGGAAGATCCCCGAGTGAGCCATGTCGTCTCCCTTCTATTCTTGCTCAAGGACTAAGTTAAATAAAACAAAGAGGCGCCACGTGGGTGAGGGCTGGCCCGGGTCACTGGTTTATTGCCACACAGCACAGGAATGTCGCCAAAACACAAACGCCGCCTGCTCCCAGCCGGGGAGGCAAGCCCGACCGCCCAGGGCGGAGCGCCACCTCCTGGCGATGGAGGGCCGCCGCCATTAACACAGGCCTGGCCTTGACAAGAGAAACATTAAGTTGCAAACAACTTTGGTACCCGACAGCTTTAAACACAGAGGACAGACTGGGACAAACATTCTGAAAACCAGCGGGCATGCGTTTTCATTCATGCACTTCCAATTGGTAGCCATTTCAACACTGAAGGCGTGGTCAAAAAAGCGCGATATCAAACTTGTAAGTTTAAAAAAAAATCGAAACATGGTTTCACAGTGGTGACATCAACATATTCCCCATTCCTGACTAGCACTAAAGTTCTTTTAAAAGTGGAAAATACTCCTACCAGTTAAAATCAAAACTGCTTATAGTTCTTAACATTTTAACAAACATTTTTATAATAAAATGTTGCAAGACAAAGATTCCAGTTGCCAGAAATTCCAGTTCCTTGCCCACGGTGCTGTGCAGTGGGGCTGGGGCCCACTCCCCAGGTGTGGCCTTGGGCTCAGGCCCCTGTTTTGAGATGGGCCTAATCCGATACCCGCTCAGACCACAGCAAAGGGTTGTTTTGAAGCTTAAATAAAAGGTGCCAGGTGTGAGAATTTAAGTGGTAAAAAATGTGGCTCCTTTTCAAGGTCTTACAGACATTTCAATGGAAAGTATTAAAACTGAAGTTTCTGATAAACTGAAAATGGTTAATACTTTTTCCAATCAATTATGTATTTTTAAAGAAGAAAAGAAAGGTGGGCACTCAGCCCTACCCTCTGACAGGTGGCGAGACCCCACAGCGCACATGGTGACCAAGACCCTCCCCATGGCTCCCACAGGGTGACCGTCTGGAAAATCAGGTGGAGACAGGGATAAACCACCTAAGGAGACCGCACATCTGAGTTGCAGGTGAGATCACTTCATCTTAGAACGAGGGCAGGAAACCAGTATCTGCCATCCTCGGTTCCCCTGGGAAGGTGGCAGAGCTGCCAAGCTTCCAAGGCCTCCTTATCACTCTGGCTTCTGCTCCAAGTGGGAGCAGCTGGCAGAGTGAGGAGCAGAATGGAGGACCCCTCGCATGTCACCCCTCAGCATGGGGTTCCCACATGCCCTGCAACACCTCATCGAGCCTGGGCCTTGGAGCAGAGGTCCAGGACAAGCTCCCAGTTCTCACAGCGACAAGTCCTCCCGAGCTGGAGGACCCAGGGGCCACGCCCTGTCACGGTTACCTCCAAGAGGCACCGAGCCCAGGGGGCGAGCACAGGTGGAATTTCCTAAGAAACAGACCCTCACAGCACAATGGCAGGCTGCGCATTATAAGCGTCCAGCCCCAGAATATTAGGAAAGGAAAACAGGTCAATATAGACTGTGGCTGACTTGCAAAAGGGGAACGGGCTGCTCCAGGAAGGAGAGGTAAACACAGGCTCCTTCTGCAGATCTTATAAAACAGGGTCTTGCAGTGGATAGGCAGCACTAGTGGTGACCAGGTACCTGGAGAGACGGGGACACTGCTGGCTCTCAGGGCCTGTCCTCCACAGCACTGGCTTCCCGCCTGTGTCCTAGGAGGACACGTAGGGACAGCAGCCAGTTCGACGACGTCGGTACCAGAGGGAGGCTCGGGCAGAGACTCCCGGGAGCAGGCGTGTGCAATGGGCCAGGCTGGGAAGATGCCCAGCAGCCAGGCCGAGTGCTACACCTGTGAGGACAATGGGCTTCCATGAGCAGAGCTGGCTGGGGAGCGGTGGAGGCCGAGGACGCGGAGCTCTCACAGAGGCACGAAGGCCGTGAGGGAGCAAGGGTCCCGTGGGAGCCCCTTCTCCCCAGGAAGCGGGTGAGCCTGGGCACAGCACAGACCTGTGGTCGCACAAACCACCGTGGTGACTGTCCTGGGAAAGGGGATAACGTGGGAGACTTACCCTGGATGGATGAGAAAGTTCCTGACTCAGTTTAAAGTGATTTGAGGCCTCCCCACCGAACACACAGAAATGAACTTTTACCATCACGTTTGTGCTTGGTCCTTAAATATTTAGTAAATGCAATTATTTCCATGGTATTTTGGAATGCGAAAATCCTCAGAAATTTAGTAAGTTTTTTTCTCCACTCTAGTTTTCTTTGAGCGAAGTATGCACCAGAGGTCAGAGGAAGGAGCTGTCCGAGCACAGGCGCGTCCAGTCGCTGAGTCTCCCTCGGGGCAGTGGCAGTGTCCTCCAGGTGGACGCACACAGAGGGCACCGCGGGGTGAAGAGAAGGCGCGGCCCGTGTCATGCTTGGTCGGAGGTCCAGATGAGCACGCAGCGAAGGTACACGTTTTTGTTAGAACAGGAAACAGTCCTCGTCGTGGGACACAGACCATGAGGAGGACTTACAGGACAGTGCCTTGTGGTGCCGCAGTGAGGGGGTGAGGCTGAAAACACTGAGCAGCCAGCAGAGCCAGGGCTCCGGGCTCTGGGGCTGTGCCCGCTGTGGGTGGCAGGCGGTGGTCCTGGGGTCCCTGCTAGGGTATTGCTGCCCCTGAGGCTGGGACAGCACTCCTGGGACAATGGCCACACGCTGGGAAGTCACCTCCTCCAGCACTTCACGGAAGACACACAGCATGCTTTCCCAGTGCAGACCAGGACCCCGTCTCTGTGGACGTGCCAGACAAGGAGGGCCCGGACACCGTTGGCTTCTGTAATGTCCCAAGGGAATGGCAATTTCGTCAAAGTTTAAAAAGTCATTCTCGTCAGAGGTGTGTGCTGAGCTGTTGTGAGGTGAAAGACAGGTGTTTCAGGTGTTTTTAAATACCCCAGCATAAAGCAGTGGGGACAGACAGACACCACGGCTAGCCTACCGTGGCCAGCTACTGGCTGGCCTGGTCTTCCCTGCACTGTTTTTTCTCTAACTGTGCATGTCAGAAACTCTCTATAATAAAAAATGAAAAACAAGAGAACTGCTATCTGAACGACTGAAGATTTCCTGATCACGTTATTCCCTACCAGTAAGCGATATTTTCCAGGCTTCGAGGAGGAGGCTGCCAACGTAACTTCCTGTCTTACTGAAACTGGCTAAGACCAGAGCTCACAGATCAATGCCTCTAACATTCTAAAACAACCCCCGAAAGAAGTCGACACCAAGCACCAACAGGGACGAACTGACGGTGTGTTCCTCAGCAGCCCGGTGGGCTGGGAGAGTCACTCCACAGACGACACACATGAAAGTGATTGGAAACTTGGAGGTGGCTAAAAACCCTTCTAGTTCTCCCCTCCAAGCAAGGGAGACCAAGATGACAGAAGTGGGAAAAAAAAATCATCTTTTCTGTCACGGTAGAAGCTACACACTACCCGGGTTTCTAACTTGAACATCGCATTCTTTGCTCCGTAACATCGTCAGCCCAGCTGGAATCAAGGTTTCTAAACATCCCGGCCACTGTCGAGCCGGAGTGTCCCCCACAAAACCATTCCAGATTGCCAGACTGCGATGCTCGCATTGCACCCAAACACTGGGCAGAAGACAGTGACAACCTCATGTCTGAATGGGCTTTATGATCCATTTCTAGGAAGACTGGAAAACTACTTTTCTAGAAACCTAAGTTAATAACTTTCTGAAAACGTACTAAGTTGTGGGAAACACATACGTAACACTTGTCACTAGACTGACTGACAGTGAGTTATCTCCTCTCTTTTCCCTCATGGGAAGGGCTTTTACTGAGGACCCCTGCGGCCTCCTCCTCCAGCAGCTTTCACAGGTCAAGGGTCCGGTTTAATTCACAGGCTCATTTATAAAACGAGCTTACGTTTATGTTGTTATTATTTTAGTTCCTGCTTCTGAGTAAGTGGGTGGGTTGGAATGGGCAAGCCCCTACCCCCTGCAAAGAGCTGTTCGAACACGAGCCACCTGCACAGCTGTCCCCAAGGAGACGCTCACTGGGATGCGCCCCGTCCAGTCGTTCAGTCTGAGAATTTGCTTCGGATTCTGATTTTCAAAAGAAAACATTTAAGGCATAAAAAAAGCTCAACTTAAAATACCTAAAGCAGACAAAGACTGCTACTTTTAGCTAGGTCACTTCCCAGGCTTTGAGTGTGTCTGTGCCCTTTTGGCTGACTAAAATAAAATGACAAGAAGAGCAGAAGGCAGCTTCTAAGCAAGAGTTCATTCAAATGACCAGCCTGCAGCCAAGAAGCCACAGTGGGAAAACACACAGAAGGGGAAGAATGCTTTTCAACTCCTCGACTTAACACTGTGTTTCGGCTTTAAAGGTCTCCATCACACCCATTCTTACACTGACATTTCCAAACAGAAGAACGAGTCTTTGTAATGCAACATGCCTTGCGCTTCAACACACCCCACATACCTCTTGTGACTTAAAAACGTGTTAACTCGATAACTGTAGTAAGGCATTGGAATATTCAAAAAAGCTACAGAGAATTTCCCAGGGAGTGGTCTCCTTTGAACGCTAACTAGATTGAGTGGGTTTCCCTGAACACAAAATAAAAGATCTGAGAAAGCAGCCGTGACGCCATGGCACCGAGTTGCAGGGGCGCGTGGTAGGGGGTAGCGTGCTTTCCAGCAGGGACACAGAGACGGACAGACGGGAGACAGACGAGCAGCCCCAGCTCGCGTGGTCCCATCACATGCAGTCAACTGCTCAAACAGAATGAGTGCCCTGACAGGTCTGGCTAAAGGAGCCAGGATCCTCAGTGCCGATCACGTGGCCTGCAGCAGGGCCGGGACTCCGGCCACTGCCTGGCTGACTCGGGTGAGGATGTGCCAAAATCAACAGAGGGCTGGACAGTGGGGCTTTCGTGGACAAGCTCCGTTTTCCGTTTTATTTCGGGATGCCGCTGGCTGACTGCTGATCTAGCATCGTGTGGGTGGGCATGTAAACTCAAGGTAGGATGTGCCAACAGAGCCCAGTGAGGGATGCATCTCCGCCTCTCCGGTCAGCAACACAGCCAGCTGTGCGGTACAGCCACACGGTGAGGAACGCACGCCTCGCTGTGGATGCATTTGAGTTCACGTGATTAAACAAAATACAGTATTGAACCGCATTGAGTGCCATGGTCTACTGTGTCACACAGCAGCGACCAGGCCAGCGAGGACGCTCAGGACGCGGGGCGCAGCCATGTCCCGAACTCCAGGTGGAGGGAGATGTGGAAGGGTCTGTACATACATGTGCACCCGGGGGTACTGCCCACTGAGCCAGGGTCTTCAAATGGTCCGGTGCCACTGTCGGCTTGTGCGCCCCGAGTTATTGCTCCCCACGGACACCTACTTCTGTACAGCGTAGGAAAGGATGGTGATAAAAACTTCATCTCCTTCAGGCTCCAACAACCGTGTCTCAAATACCACCGCACGGACACCTAAAAACATGAAGAACAACAGGAATGTCACAACCATAAACGTGAAAGCAAATACGCCCTGGCGCCTAGGGAAGGACGAGCCAGGCCACCCCTCCTCTGCCTACCAGACAGTGTCCATTAGAGACAGAAAGTCCGCAGCGGGCGAAGGGCAATGGAGATTCACCCGTTCTATAAACAGCTTCTATTTTAGCAAGAGGCGCATTCACTTCAACCTCAACCAGGTCTCCGTGACGTGCCAGGAGGCGCGTGTCCCCTCCCCGGCCCCGACAGCCTGGCCTGTCCTTCCTTTCCCGACAGGCCCTGAGGCCCTCCCGCAGGGTCAGAACAGGACCCCCGCCCCGAGTGTGGACGCTCTGAGCCCTCCGTGTGGCAGGTTCGCAGGCGGCGACAGCCCCTGTCCTAAATACACAAGGGCTGGCGGCGACATGGGCACCCACCTGTG